TAAAAACCCAACGCCTTGTTTTGGGTGCACACTCATTGTTAGTAGGGGGAAAGGGGGGGGTAGGGTGGGGGGATGTGTGTGTGTGTGTGTGTGTGTGTTTCTCCGCTTCGGTGAAGAGCGGAGAAGCTATTGTTTTACATATTTCTTTCTCTAACCTCTTTAGCCGTGATATTCTTAAAACCAAGTATATTTTTTTTCTTCCCTTCTTCTAAGTTTATCACGCAAGATGCGTAAATGATTCGGAGACATATAGCCTCCATTGAAAAAAAAAAAAAAAACCAGATGGCCTGCACCATAGGCAAGCACTTCATAGCTTGCATCTGTAGATTGATTTTACCCATTTTCTTGTAAGAATAATAGGCCTAACCCGCTCAGTGTCTTCCCTGCTCCTACCCACTTTGGGGCGCTCCATTCCCCCCCACGCTGGTTCAACCAGCGAGCGCGCGTTCTTGAGATGGAGCGGATCTGGCTGAAGATACTTGGAGAAATCAGGGTCGTCTACAGGACGATACTGACGCGCAGCCGCTAGCTTCAATCTAGAACAAAAAGACCCCAAAAAAAATCCCGCACAGTGTATGCTGTGGCAGTGAATGAAATACCCCAAAAATACATAAATAAACAAATCCCCGTGTACACTTAAGCGCTGCCCTGGGCTCCTTTACGCAGTTGAAGAGACAAACTCACCAGATTAGTTAAATTGCAAGCATTGTGTAGGGCGGCCATTTTGTGGCCATGTGGTCCTTTGTCCTCTGTCCATGTGTTTTCTTTGTTAAGTGTTTGTCTGTTTAAGCTCAAACTAAACTGACAAAACAAACTCACCCAATTAGGTTCTTTTGGTCTTGTGTGGCAAAAAGAACTCCTTCCGTGCGCAGGACGAGCATGCTCTCCTCTCCTTTGTCTCCAAATAGAGCAGAGGCTGGTGCGTCCAGGTAGGCCAAACAAAGCCGCTCGTCCTCGCCAAAAGTGTCTATGCCAAGACATGCCAGCAACGCCAAATTGTGGAGGAATATTACACCCCAATGCAGTAGAAAAACTCAAAGATGTTTGTCATAGTCAAAAGCGTAAGTTTAATGGAATCACACGCGCGTGAGGAGAGAAGCAGACACATACCAACAGGTCGTATCTCCTAGCTCTGGGGGCCGAGCCCCCAGTCTCGTGTATACAGAGCAACAAGAAAGTCAGTCCCGCCCACAACAGATTGGAGGGGGCCACAGCCTGCTCCACACAGGAAGCGCCGGCACCACCCCCTATGGTGTGTCCTGCATGGGGTGTGAGCAGACAAGACAATGGCCATAATATGGAGGAGGCAAAAGGGTGTGACAGGGCAGCAGGGACCCTCAGGAAGCACAGCATGGCGTCAGAAGGGCGTCTCTGCATCTGAAAGGCCCTCCACGTCCGCGTATTGGCTGTGGCTGGTTATGATGTGTGACTACTCTGAAAACTGTCATCACATGGCCTCTCTGCATTGGCTTCCAGTCAGCTTTAGGATTCAATTCAAGATACTGTTGATGGTTTTTAAATGCTTGAATGGGTTGGCTCCATCTTACCTTTCGGAGCTTTTGTTGACCCGTGATCCAGGTCGTACATTGAGATCCTCCAACCAAATGACTCTGGTTTTATGCTTCGCTTTTGGCACCTCCAGAGGAGACCGGGCTTTTGCCGTAGCGGCTCCGAGACTCTGGAACAGCCTTCCGCTGAATGTCAAAATGGCCCAGTCCATTCATGTTTTTAAGTCGTTGTTGAAAACCCATTTTTTTGCTTTGGCCTTCAACACAAGCTGAGCAGATCCCATGTATTTTATTATTATTGTCTCATGTTGTATATTTTGTGACTGTTTTACTCTTCAATTGTATTTACTCTTCAATTGTATTTTATAATGTTTGTTGTACAGCACTTTGGGCGGCTGTGGCTGTTTTAAGTGTGCTATATAAATAAAATTGACATTGACATTGACATAATCATCAAGACAGAGCGAGAGACCAGACAGACCGTATAGAAACCCTCCAGTATAGAACAGTCTTGTTAATACAGTCAGACCCTAGTCCTGATAATGTGTTTTTTTCATCAGTCGTCCCTCTCCCACACATGAGCAAATTACAGTGGAAATTGCTAATACTTCTGTTCGAGGAGGCAATCTCCCAGAAGCCATTTGTCGGCCTGAACGAGTTGCATAATTTTAATTTGATCCAAGTGATTACGGAAGTGTTACAGCAAGAAGAGGAAAAGTATGTCACATCTAACTCAGGTTCCTCATCTCTGTCAGCACATATCAACTATGGTCTCTCTCTGTGGTCTATCTCTGCTCTGTCTTGCTCTTTCTATGGTCTCCCTCTCTCTCTCTGGTCTCTTTCTGTCTCGGGTCACTTTCTCTCTGGGGTTACTTTCTCTGCTCTCTCTATTTTCTCTTTCTCTGGTCGCTGTGTTCTCTCTCTGGTCTTTCTCTCTAGGGTCTCTCTCTCTCAATGGTCTCTCTCTGCTCTCTCTCTCTTTGGTCACTCTCTTTCTGGTCTCTGGTCTCTCAATCTCTCTCTGGGTTCCTTCTTTCGCTGGTCTCCATATCTCTCTGTCTCTCTCTCTTTTTCTCTCTGTCTCTCTCTGTCTCTCTTTCTCTCTCTGGTCTCTTTGCTTTCTCTCTTCATATTTGAATGTGATGAAAAATTGCACAGAGACTAATCTTCAATAATAACGTTTTGCGTTGGCTTTGCTAGTGATCGTTGATGTGTTTTTGGAGTGGACTATGTGTCATTTTCTCTCCGTCTCTTCGCCAACAGTAAATCTGTCTGAGGTTTTTTTATTGCGCAGTCAGAAGTGTTTTGGCCGCGCTGCTTCTCTCAGTGTGAAACTCGTATTGAAAGCAGAAATAAATACCCAGTTCTCTGCCTTTGTTTACGAGGCTTACATTACATTTCTCCTGCTATTTTGAAGCCGCCATCATTAGCACTGAATGTAATGCACTATTTATACGTACCTGCGTTTGCACAAGTACAGAGACTCAGTCCAGCTCAGGTAGCTGCTTTCATGAGGCTCAGTATTGATTTGGTTTATAGAAGCTTTTCTCCCACTCACAGAAATATGGATCAGGCCCCTGGATATTACCAGCTGCCTCGCCTGCTAAAACTTACTACAAGTAAAATTGGATATTTGCAGCCAGAAGTGTTAGACAGTATATACTCTTCAAAGCAATGTGTATTTATGGCCTTCAAATTCTTGAACTTAACTTTACTGCAGTTAATGTTATATGAATATGGTGGACAACAAAGAGGAAACGGTCTGAAGTACTCTGACTTAAAATAATTAAATTCAATTAACTGTATTTATCCAGGAGGAACTTCATTTGCAGATGGAGTATCAGTGGGGATTCATAAAAACACAGAAACACAAGATATAAAATACAATAAAAGTGCAGAAATGCAGTTAAAATGTATAATCTGCTTCAGCCAAAACAGTCAGCCCAATCAGCTCCTTAATAAAAAAATATCCTTTATTATTGTAGGGCCATTGCCATTGCCGTATATTTATTTACATTTGAAACTTGCTCCACTACTTCTAGCACAGTATGTATTTAATGACTCTAGTTGTGCACTTTTAATCTCTGCCTATGCTTTTAAAGGGACAGTGCATATTATGCACCCAGAATAGCACTTTTTTCACTATAATCTTTTGCCTGTGTCACACAGCTCTGAAGCACTGATAACGGATGCAATCCACCTGCTGTAGTTTAGCTAGAAACTGCACAAACCCTGTGTATTACATGTGACTACTTTTGAGTTTGTACCTGTGCTATTTAAACTAATGCGTTAAGTAAAAACAAAAGATAAGAGCCAAAACCAGCTACAAATCACCTGACAAACTTTTTTGCATATATCTGTAGTTTTCTGGTCTCTCTCACTCTCTCTGGTCTCTATATCTATCTCTCTTCTCTCTCTCTCTGGTTTCTATGGTCTCTGGTCTCCATCTCTCCATTCTCTCTCTCTACTCCCCACTTAAACTTTTTGTTTCACATATATCTGCAGTTTTTCCTGTACCTTTTGTTTTCCTGTATACATACTGACTCTCCCGCCTCTAAACCTAACTTACAGTTGGTGCTACTTTAGTGGAACAATTTGCCCATGCTCCTGATTTCAGCGTGTGCCTCTTCTGCTCCTCACCCGAGCTGGAGATATAGTCCTGTATTGATTTCATTAGAGAGACACATTCCCACTCAGTGTGAAATATGGATAGGACCGCTGGCTAATGTTAAAATGCTCTCCTTGGCCGTGATATGGACTCATGGCACCGGTTTCAATACTGCATACGTCTTAAGCAAAGTTCCCATGCATTATTAATACGGGAGCAAACCCCACACATTGTTAAACAGCAGTTACATGTGTTTGTCCTGTAGCCAGTCCAAAACACTCGGCTACTACTCCGACTGAATGTAGAGCAGATGGGAAAGGAAAGGTTTTATTATAAGCCTTGGTATTGTATCATAGGAAAGAAAATGTTTTATTAGAGGCTTGTTTATCAGTAATAGTATCATAGAAAAGGCAAAGGAAGAACTGAAGAAATGGCACAAAGCAAGCAGTGGGAGTGAGGTGTGTGGTCAGAGGGTGCTTGGGCCTGTGTGTGGTATATTTTAAAACATGAAATGACAATGTTAATAGTTTGATAAGAATTTTGAATAACCCAAAATAACACATGATATTTCTTCTTGTAGGCGACCCCAGGAAGTCAAGTCTTCCACTTTCTTGGCAGCTAATGGGATTCATAGTAAATAACTATTTTGCAGCCGGTCTAAAGCTGTAGTGGTATAATTTCACCAACAAAATTATCAGTAACAGGAACAGAAAGGAAGAGAAAATATTCTAATTATTTCTCCTTATGTTTGTTTATGAGACTTTGGCCACAAATGGGTGAAGAGATTTGTCTATTTTTCTTATATTTTGCTCAAATAAGGCAGATGGATTGTTCACTGAGACTATTTGGCTTTTCTTGCTGTAAAAGTGACTTGTCTGCCCTCCATGGTCCTGACCCTCTGTGTTTGTCTCGGTCTGGTGCAGAGCCTGGTGGCCCGTCTGAAGGAGAACCTGGAGAAGTTAACGGAGGAGCGAGACCAGCGCAGCAGCAGCGAGAACCGCGAGAAGGAGCAGAACAAGCGGCTGCAGCGACAGATCCGCGACGTCAAGGAGGAGATGGCCGAACTCGGGAAGAAGGAGGCGGAGGCGAGCCGCAAGAAGCACGAGCTGGTCAGTCATTGAGCAGAGAGATTAATTTCATTCAATGTATTCACAACAGTAGTTTTAGTTTTCTGCTTTACGAAACTGTTGAATTCACCAATATAGATCAGAGAATCAAACGGTTCAAACACAAGAAATGCAATGATAGAAAACACATGGCATTAGTCCATAACGGGCAGAGACCAATGTCCATAAATGTTGATAAATGTCCAGAAACATGTGTCCTGGATCAGACCCTCCTGCATCGGCAAGAAAAAACTCTAAAACCCAGGGAGAAAAGGTTAGAAACGTCTAGGCCCAAATTGAGTGAGGGATCTGCTCCCACGAACAGACGGGCTGTAGATCCATGGACTCAAACATATTGACCAGTAAACGGAATACAAAAACCACACAGCAATACACTATTTACTACCTTATACATCTATTGCACCACAGCATTATATATGGAATTTAAGTCATATAAAACCCAGAGCGTTTGCTCTTTGTTTGAATAAGCCTGTGTAGTATAAAACCAGGATGGGACATTTACATTCTCACACTTAGGCTTCATGGTAAAAACTCTCCTTGCATTTGCTTAGTGAGAGGTTCAGATGGATGTGTTTACATAGATGGTGGATTTACATAGAGATGGACTTAAGACTGTTCCATCCTGGTTCAATTGTTAGACCGAAATAGTCGTTTTGTGAACCGTCTTAAAGGAGAGCTGCTTTTTCCAGACACAGGGGAAGAGTCCATTGTGAACTATAGAAATCACAACATACTGTCTGCATCTTATTAGACTTATCCTTATTTGGCTGAGTGAGGGTGGTCTTCTCTTTTTCACTTTTCTGTCATGAAAAAGCTATATCTAAAGATGTGAGAGAGGCCAGAAATACAAGCATGCAACACATAGTAATGGAACCAAACTGTTTTAAGATGTTTGCGGTTTAAAAGTTCGGTAACCTAGCTTTATTAACATCACAACAAAAGCCAAGACACCCTTTCCCTCCATTTAATCAGAAAAAAACACAGAATTGTTCCACACATCTGTAATACTGCACGTTGAGAGCCCGGTCCTTTGTCGGAGCTCAGAGCGGCTCGAGGAGAAGGCCGTGACATTCTCCAGCTGCATCCATCACAGACTCTGACCCTCCTCCATTGTGGGAAAAGTTCAGAGTCTTTTCTCGTTAGCAGGCGACGGCAGGCTCCACATGGATGGATAGAAGTGAGAAATGAAGATTCTGCTATAATGATATTCTCACACTGTAGAGTTTGGATTTTAGGTTATAGAAAGAAGGATGAGGACCAAAGGTTTCTTTCGAGATGAAGTTTATGACAATCACAGAGGTCTGGCTTGAACTGAAAGAGAGAGAAGCGTAACCACACAGAATTAAGACTGTAAATCTGGGGGTGACATCAAAGAGGGTCTAAGCAAACTGTGGAAATAGAACCCAAAATGTTCAATATTGACTTATTTCTTATTAGTTCTCTATCAGTTACCGTACTTTCTGGACTCTTACGTTCCTGCTTATAAGCCACATTATAATTATAAAGTATATTTTGTCCACATATAGGCCACACTTGCACCATGATTGGGAAAAAAAACAGAAAAACAATAAGAGTTCTCCTGTTTGTGGTGGTTTGGCTTGAGTTCCAGTTGAGAACCACTGACGTATCCCCTAGATCTGTTTAAACCAGGTGGGCCTAAACTGAAATATGTACACTCCTTTGGGCATGACAATGTATACGGAAAAATTAGCTTTAAAATAATGTTTAACAGGCCATGGAAACCCAAACCCTCCCACCATCAAAGCTTGCAACAAAACAATAATAACTGAGAATCTGCTGGAGCCCCCCCTGTCTTATATACTTGTTTGTGTGTAGATGTTTAGTAAAATAGTCACTAAGTAAAAGGGCGTTATGTTGAACAGGAAATGGACATTGAGAGTTTGGAGGCGGCAAACCAGAGTCTCCAGTCAGATCTGAAGTTGGCCTTTAAGAGGATCGGAGACCTGCAGGCGGCAATAGAGGACGAGATGGAGAGCGACGACAACGAGGACCTCATCAACAGGTAACGCAAGAAAACTCATGTTCCCAAAGAAAAGGTTATGTACAGTTTGAGAGACACTCAGCACTGGGATCAACAGGTAAAACAGCAAAACTATTGTTATATATTCAAAACATGTTTTATTTGAGACCATTTTCAACCCCTTAATCCATTTTTCGGGCCACACACACAGCCTCAATCTTTCAGTGGGGGCTTCAGGCAAAGTTGGGTGAACAACTGAGCCATTCTCTGAGTCCTGTCTTGAATATATGACATGTCAGACATCATCTACAGACTTCACGGTGTCTATGAGGTTCAAATATTCCTTCTTTCTAAATGCAGTTAAGGTTATAATTCATATTGTACATTTTATTTTAGTTTCACTTCACAGATTTCTTTCTTGAACATTGTCATTTAACTTTCATTTGCGGCATTAAAAACTACTTCTGATCGGTGCAAAACTACCATTTCTACCATTTCTCCCTGATCTCTCTGATCTCTCTTGTCTCTCTTTGGACTCTCTTTCTGGTCTCTCTCTGGTCTCTTTCTAGTCTCTCTCTGGTCTCTCTCTGGCCTCTCTTTCTGGTCTCCCTCTGGCCTCTCTCTGGTCTCTCTGGTCTCTCTCCGGTCTCTCTCTGGTCTCTCTCTGGTCTCTCCCTGGTCTCTCCCTGGTCTCTCTCTGGTCTCTCTCTGGTCTCTCTCTGGTCTCTCTCTGGCCTCTCTCTCTGGCCTCTCTTTTTGGTCTCTCTCTGGCCTCTCTTTCTGGTCTCTCTCTGGCCTCTCTTTCTGGTCTCTCTGTGGTCTCTCTCTGCTCTCTGCACCTCAGCCAATGGGACAAAAGAAAATATCTTGTTTTTAAAAGATATCAGAAATGCCTCCCTTGGAATGAGAAAACAAAGCAACAGTTCTGGAAAAAATACTAAATGGCTTTGTCCCATTGGAAAATCTTGTCAGAATTAACTCAAATTTAGACAAAAAACAATTTTACATGTATGACCTCATATTTGATCATTTTCTGCTGTCTGCATACATTTCTGTGCATCTTGTCCAGTCTCCAAGAACTCTTATATTCTTTGCATTTCTCCCTTGCTGCCAAACCCTTAAAACATTTGCATCTGGGTGTTGTGCAAACATCTCAAAGCCGTCGACACTCTCCCACTCGGCCTCGTCTCTGGCCTCTCCGTTTGAATCTCCTATTTATTCTGAACTACGCGGCCGAGCTAATTTTTATGAGCTGCACCCCGCGGAGCAAGGCCGTAGGTTGGCTTTGATAAATAATGCCAGAGACTTACTATGGGCCAGTGTGAGTCAGGCAAGCGCAATCTCAGGCCGCGGAGAAAGCGGGAGAAGTAGAAAAATCCTCCAGCTATGGTTTAATATTTCAGCGTTGGAGGTTCCCAAAGGGTCGTGTTGTGCCAAATCTACTTCAGCAGCTTGTTATTGGTGAGTCATGCTTCTTTGAGTCACCATTAAATGTTCCTCAGCTTTTTTGACGTATTCTATAGTAATTTACAAACTCAGTCGTGTTTTTAGTTTATCATATGGATCCACATGAGCTGAGCTTAAAGTGGACGCCAGTCACTTTTAAAATTGCAGTGAGAGAATTTGGACAGTAATGCTTGTGATATTTCTCTGACAGATCAGACTTTTTCATTAACTAAACTGATGCCCACTCTCTGGTCTCTCTCTGGTCTCTCTCTCTGGTCTCTCTCTCTGGTCTCTCTCGCTGGTCTCTCTCTCTGGTCTCGCTCTCTCTGGTCTCTCTCTGGTCTCTCTCTGGTCTCTCGCTCTCTCTCTCTCGCTCTCTCTCTCTCTGGTCTCTCTCTGGTTTCTCAGGTCTCTCTCTCTCTCTGGTCTCTCGCTCTCTCTCTCGCTCTCTCTCTCGCATTTTATAATCAAGAAGTTGGAAAAAACTAAACGGTAAATGTCAAACGTGTAAGAAATGTACACTACTATCTAAAAATATATAATTACCTATACTGCATTTCCCTACGAGGAGTATCTGAAGCTCTGTACACTCACATCCTCCACAACAGCTGTCATTTCCATGTTTTGATTTCTATGCCATTTCATGTTGTCATTCTTTACCAGTTTGCAGGACATGGTGACAAAGTATCAGAAACGAAAGAACAAAAAGTGAGGTTCATGCATTGGATTTGTTGTTTTTTTGAATAACCATGACTTTTTCCCTTTGTGAGGTTTGGCTTCCTCTGCTTCAGCTGATGATGCTCTGTCCGCAGCCTCAGGTGTGGTCCAACCAAAGACTTAGGGCTCATTGATGTGTTTGGTCAAGCAAGAAAACACAAGATTTTAAAAGGAGAAATCCCCCGTTCTCAGCCTGAATATAAAAAATCTTATATTTCCATTTTTCTATTGTGAGAAATAGTGTATCTTGAGCCAAATCCAGTATTAGGTTAAGATAATAATTTAAAAGCCCTAAGAATTATGCTAATCACCTTTACCTTCATAAAAATTGACTCAATTCATGATATAATAAACCTCTAGTACAAACGCGTTCCCCCACCCATTCTGTCATGATTATATGTATTTAAACAAGTTTCTGTATGATCTGTCAAGAAGACATACTATACACAATTGATGTACTCTATTGAGAGAGAGAGAGAGAGAGAGAGAGAGCCTCCCTGCTCTATGGTCAATTCTCAGACTGTGACATCATAGACAGACCTGTTCCTTGCCCTTTATAACAAAAGTATTTATTCAAAATTAGCTTTCATAATTTCTCCCCTTTTACTTCAACTGTGGCATCAAATGAATCGCGCCATGTTAGATTTTTCTGATTTGCCAGTCAGTACTGCATGTCCTCCCATAGAAATGTGAGAGTAGAATAATTAGCTGAAGTGTGATTGCTGGTTGTATAGATGTAGGCCATTCCATGAATATTTTATCAATTGTTGCACCCAGTGTTTTCTTATGGGATTTTAAATCACTGGGCAAAGCAGTTTACACCAAGTACCCAACAGTCAAAGAGATTAACTGGAAACGAAAATACACATTATTAAGTTTTTATCAAGGAGCAGATCTCAAACCGTAAACTGGCTTCTGATATCTGACTGACGTCTGGTTAAAAACACAACCATATCCTTGTATGCATATTCTGTCTGGTCTCTCTCTCTCTAGTCTCTCTCTCTCTCTCTCTGGTCTCTGTCTCTCCCTGTGGGCTCTTTCTGGTTTCTCGGGTCTCTTTAAAAAAAAATACGAATTAGTCCCAACATGAGTTTTGCAATATTGAAATAGTTTTTGAACAAATCAGGCCACAACATCCTACATTCCTGTCTTCATCCTATTACCGCCTGTTATCTTTGTCTGAGAAAGATCCCTGTGAGTTACTATTTGACTCTTTGGGCTGATTGGCTGAGAGAGGTTGGTTCTCACATCTTTAAATGAGCTTTTTCAGACAGAAAAGTAAAAGAGGCCAAAAATAGTTAATGTTTTTGAGAGTGAGGAACTAGTGACAGATTATTCTTTACATAGCTCAATTTCTTTTTTAAAGTTTAAAAGTTGGGTACCCTATCTGTAATGTTGTAAAATTAGTCAGTTTGAAAACGTATGTTTAAAAACGTCCATATACCATCAAATGTTCACCTCTTCAAACTTGCCAAATCTCACTTCCAGCCCTAGTTTTGGAGTGCCACCTCCTCCTCTGCACTGGGACCTCACCTGTACATTGCTAAGCTTTCTTTTGACTGCCACCCATCATAATAAACCCAGATGTTTGGTCTAGCAGGCTGCAGCTGGAGCTTGCGTATCAAAGAGTGGCTTAGTTCCACGCGTTGCCCCATTCACACATCTGAGGCGGGCTCCGATAAGGGGGGATTTCAGCCTTTTGAAGTGCCGAGTGCTGCTGGATAATGCATCATCAGCTGAAGCCGAGGCCCTATCTCTGCTTTAACCCGCACTGTCGCTCTGTGCAAGCCGCATGATCTCCCTCCAACGCATGGAACACGGAATAACACGGCATAACCTGTGCGGAAAACTACCAGCGACTATGAAGAAGGATGTCTGGAACACTATTCAAATCTAATGTTGCTATATTTCTTGTAACATTAGGGAAAGCTCTTTGTATTATGTGTTATCATTTACTTTATATGTTTGTATGTTTCTCTTTGGCAGTAATGTCATTGTTTTTGGCCATATTCCAGAGGGATCAGGGACGGCGCAGGGACTGAGCAGAGTAGGGAGCAGAGTAGGGAGCAGAGTAGGGAGCAGAGTAGGGAGCAGAGACGGACCAGAAATAATGAAATCTGAAATATGGCCAATTATTTTCCATTGTTTTCTGCCAGGGGGAGTGAACATTTCACGATCACATATTGAGACTTGTTTTCTTATCGATGCAAATCATTATTCTATCTAACATCTTCAGGGAAGATGAAAAGGATCAAAGCAACAGTAGTAATTTTTTACCTTGAAGTGGGAAAAAACCTAAACATGACACGTAGTTTACCATCTTCACATGTTTGTCTATGTACGTTTTTCATGCAGTTATTTTTCAGTGCGTTTTTTCATAAATTTTGTTTCCACCGAAAGAAAATTGTGGTAGTTTCTCAGAGGATCTTCCATTATTTCCTTGATTTATGTTTCCAGTGTGGCAAGATCCAGCGTATTTATCCTATAGTTTGCTTGTTTAGCTGGTTTGGGGGAGGATTTGGAGAGAGGCGGGCGGACCACTCTTTGTGTTCTGATAAAAGGTTTTTTTCAAATTCCCTCTGAAATGGACGGTGAAGTGTGCTTGGCCAGGTCTGCACAATCACGCCTTTCTGTTTTCGAGAGATTTTCTTTGAAACAAAAATAATCATAGGCCTCCAGACTTTTGAAAGCCAGTAATTTCTCAAGACTGAAAAAGGTCGAGGGGTTTTTATGAAGTGTCTCCGCAGCAGATGTGTGGCCAGAATACATGTCACACCAGAGGTTTACCTCAGGCCACGGTTCATTCCAGCTTTGGATTACTTTTATTTTGTATCATTTATAAGAGAGAGACTGAAAGACCAGAGAGAGAGAGACTGTGAGACCAGAGAGAGGGAGACGTAAGACCAGAGAGAGGGAGACCGGAGGGAGAGACCAGAGGGAGGCTAAATAGAGAGACTGTGAGACTAGAAAGGGAGAGACTAGAGAGAGACCATGACATAGAGAGAGCGTCAGAGAGAGTAGCGTGAGACCAGCGGGAGAGAGACCAGAGAGAGAGAGAGGGGGGGAGCATGACATAGAGAGAGAGAGGCCAGACAGATATTAGAGAGAGAAGAGAGAGACCAGAGAGAAAGAAACACCAGAGAGAGAGACACTAGAGGGAGAGACCAGAGAGAGAGAAACCTGTACCAATACTGTACATAACTTAAACTTCTCGCGAAGGCTTCTGATTGGTCAATTGTCGTGGCTCATATCTGGATTTACAAAAATGTCAAAAATAAATCATAGAGAGCACTATAAATCCTGTTAGCCTAAAATGGTGAATGAGACACACAGTTACTGAAGAGATAGTTTTCTTTTTTTAAATGTAAGCCATTAGTTGAAGGAGTAAAACTTTGTTCACGAGCACTTCCCTATTGGGTTTCATGGAGCAAGAGTGTTAGCATTGTCCATCTATATACAGTCATGTCTGTATCCCACTTACGCTCCATTATATTGACCTGAAAAGCTGTTTTTGCTCTGAAACAACTCATGGGGGAATGAGTTGAAGACCCCTGACGTAGACCATTACTTCCTTAATAAAACATAGAGACTCGAAATGAACACATAAAGACACATTCAGACTTTGCAAGCACTTAGTTAAGAAGAAAGCAAATGGATTTAAGGCACACCTAATTAGTTGCTCGGAGAAATTATTCTAAAAACAGTTTTCATAAAGGCTGGATTGGCCAAGGACTCTCTAGACGGCACTAGAGGAAGCTCAAGTGCCTGTTTCAGAAAAGCCTGATCCAAACCGTGTATTTATCTACTACTTTCTCTTTGTGGAGATTCGGTGCTTACAACTGTCTCTGCCCGTCTAATACGTCTAATGTCTGTTACCAAACACGAAAAAGCATTAAATCAATTCAATTCCACACAGGCCGACGTCATTCTTGTGATAGCGATAATAAACAAAATGATGAATATCTCTTACCGTTGTATGATACAGTTAGCATAGAGGCTGAGTTGGTTTCCTCCAGGTACTCCAGTTTGCCTTGAATGAAAAACATTTTCACCCAGCTCTGATCCTGACTCAGCTCTGGTCCTGACCCAGCTCTGGTCCTGACTCCTCTCTGGTCCGGGCAGTGACATTGGAAGGATGGGTCAAATGCAGAGGTCACATTTCTCTACAGAACAATAACTTAACTTTCCTTCTGGCTTGTTCATTTAAACCGCAACTATCAAAGCTCCAGTTACTGTCAGATGTCACCACAGACTCTTGAACCCGTTTGAAAGACATTGTTTGTTCCAGTCATCGTTGGGACCAGATAAACCTGGCTCCCTGGATTCCTCTGGATCACTTACAGAAGTAAAATATAAGGGCCATGTTTTATATTCCTAAGTATGCTATTGCTTCTTAATGGAAAAAGTTGCACTGGTCTGTTGGACTTGGTTGAACAAGATAAACAATATTTTCTTACTTAAAGGTATAGAGGAGGATTTCCCCAAATTTTCCCCGCCCTCCACTTTTTGAACAAAACTCTCTGGTCTTATTGGACGAGCATGTATCATCAAAATTATTGACAATTGGGAAAACCAATAGTCTAAAAGATCCACCCGGAAGTGGAAAATCTTCTTATATACTTTTAAGCGGCTGTATTCAGTCGTTATTCAATGATATACTATCTATCTGAAAAAAAATACTTCTCACTGTTCACATGTCATTTTTATATGAGATTAAATTGCGATGAATGAATTACAAAGCCCGGCCCTGATATATTTACTTCCATGCTTTGTTTATCTGCGCTTAGAGCTGTCTCTGCTTTTTCAGTCTGTCAGTCTAAAGTCAGTCTTGTCAGTCTGAAGTCCGTCAGTCTGAAGTCCGTCAGTCTAAAGTCCGTCAGTCTAAAGTCCGTCAGTCTAAAGTCCGTCAGTCTAAAGTCCGTCAGTCTGAAGTCCGTCAGTCTAAAGTCCGTCTTAAGTCTGTCAGTCTAAAGTCTTATCAAACATGAAAA